ACCCTGGGTTTAGGGTTGCCAACATTGTATTTAAAAACACAGGACAGACCTCAGATGTCCCCAAGCTTAACTTGAACCTCTGGGAGCAAATCCTTTCCCGCCACGCTCATTCTTCCGAGGGTTTCTCTCTCTCCAGCTCTGGATGCTGCAGAGAACCCAGGCCCTCTGCTGATAGGCCAGCAGTCGCTGTGAATCCCGTTCAGGTTCTGCACAGCCACCAGGTAGAGTGGCCAGATGTCCTGGTTTTATAGGGACAGTCCCGATATTCAGGACTTTGTCTCAGATAGGCGCCTATTACCCCTCACTCCCATCCCGATTTTTCACACTTGCTATCTAGTGACCCTAGTACCTGAAGCCGAGTTGGAAGCTGCAGTTGCTGGTCTTTGCCTGCTGCAGCACTGTGCACACTGCTAGGGATGTGGGCAGAGACTCTGTGAGAGGGGAGGTTACACCCCTGGAGTAATGACCCCCCTGCCAGACAGAGCCCCTTCCTGACCCTGGCCCTTCTGCACAGCTCCAGGGCACACAGCCCTGTCCTCGTATCCTGCCAGACAGAGACTGCACAGGGAAAGCAGACGGGGCCACTCTCAAGGGCTGGAGTCAGCAGGGGGCTCTGTCCAGCCGGGGGCCAATATTCAAGGGTGCATCTTCCCACTCCCCTCCCAACCCTGGCCCTTGAGCATGGCCCCATGTGCTTTTCCTGTGCAGCACTGAAGGACCTGGGTTGAGAGGAGAGTAGATAGATGCTCCTGTGAGTATTGGCCCCTTGCTGTTGAAATACAGGATAAAAGGCATCCCCTACTGTGATGAAGTGGGTTTTTTTTTTTCCTTGGTTTTTCCAATGGTTTGCATGCAGAGGGGGTGGGACTCAGTTCCCTGGGTGTTACTGGTTTAACGAGGTGATGGGAGAGGGAGTTTGTTGTTACAGACGACTGGCGACGAAACTTGGGACCCCAGCCAATGGCCTGGAGAATGGCTACCCCAGCAACTGGTGACCTGGTGACCGGGAGACCCAGCTCAGGAGTCACAGCCGGTTCTGGCCAGTGGGAGGATAATGGACTATGAAGAGAGGACCCTGGTGACCTGACCAGCTGGTTCCAGCCAGAGGGGGCCAGAGGATGGAAGACAGGAGAGGAGGCCCAGGCAACCCTGTTTACCTGGGTAGAAGACAATGGACAGAGGCAGGACTTGGGGGAGGTGATATCAGATACCCAGCTGGAAAGCACGGGCGTTCGGGACTGGAGAGAGAGAGAGCAGGCAGAGCCCACCTGGATGCAGGGGAGACTTGGATGTGCTGTGCTGTGCTGAGGGAGGCCAGGCCTGAGGGCCCTGAGAGTTTTCTATGCTGTGGTCAGATGCTCAATAACCCCTCCTGTTTACGCTGGCTGAAAGTCGCTCCGGTCTAGGGAACAGGGTTGCATTATTCACTCTGGGAGTGGAGACCCCCGGGGTCCAGAGCAAGTGAACTCCCTGAGGGGGCCCACAGAGAGAGACAGGTGTGCTAAGGCTCAGAGAGGTGCGGATCCAGGAGGTGGAGGGGTTTAACCCCCAAGAGAGAGTGGACTGCCGAGAAGGGCTGTCTCACTGAAGGGGGGTTCCACCCAGAGACCATACGGGGCCAAGGGTGGGCATGACCTGTGAGTCCATGACACCTACGGATTTAGTACAGGACAGGCAATTTTCTATTTAAATAAGGGACATCCCTTGTAATATAGGACTGTTGGCAACCATACCTGGGTAACAGGGTTGGTTCTTTTTTCTGGTGCTGGTTTTGGACTTGGGCTAATGGGCTCTGTTACCCTGCAAGGGGGGGAGAACATAAATGTGACCTGGCCTGTGACCCAGACCTCAGGAGCCCCAAGGATAGGGTTGCCAACTTTCTAATTGCACAAAACTGAACACCCTTGCCCCACCTCTGCCCCACCCCTTCCCCAAGACCCCACCCGTGCCCTGCCCCATCTCCAAGGCCCTGCCCCCACTCACTCTATTCCCCCCTCCCTCTGTCACTCGCTCTCCCCCATCCTTACTCAGTTTCACTGGGCTGGAGCAGGGGGTTGGGGTGTGGGAGGGGATGAAGGCTCTGACTGGGGGTGTGGGCTCTGGGGCAAGGCCAAGGCTGAGGGATTTGGGGTGCAGGAGGGGGCTCCGGGCTGGGAGCGAGGGGTTTGGAGTGTGGAAGCAGGCTCAGGGCTGGGGCAGGGGGTTGGGGTTGCAGGACGGGGTGTGGGATCCAGGAGGGGGCTCAGGGCTGGGGCAGGGGGTTGGATGCGGGCTCTGGGAGGCAATTAGGGTGCGGGAGGGAGTTCCGACCTGGGGCAGGAGGTTGGCGTACATGTGTGGGTTTGGGCTCCAGCCGGGCGGCACTTACCTCAGACGGCTCCCAGTCAGCACCGCAGTGGGGTTAAGGCAGGTTCCCGGCCAATGGGAGCTGCGAAGCTGGTGCTTGGGGTGGGGGCAACACGCGGAGCCTCCCTGATTGCACCTGCACCTAGGGGCTGCAGGGACATGCCGGCCGCTTCCAGGAGACACGCAGAGCCAGGGCAGGCAGGGAGCCTGCCTGAGTCCCACTGTACCACCGACCGGACTTTTAACGTCCCCGTCAGAACAGGGTCCCTTTTCGGCTGGGCATTTCAGTTGAAAACCAGACGCCTGGCAACCCTACTCAAGGAGGAGAGTGAGGCAGAGAGACTGTAATGCCAGGTTTTGCAACAAGGGGTACTCTGGGACAGTGAGTTGTGTTACACTGCCTTTCCAATTGCACGCAAATGGGTGATGGGATTGGCTAAACGCTGCTCCCTGTCCAGGCCCTGCCCTGCCCTGCCCTCCTCTCCTCTCGACCTCCTCTCCCTGGTACCCTCTCTACCATTTCTGGGGAGGAGTAAGAGCCCCTTCCTGTTAGGGAACAGGAGAGCCTCTCTCTCTCCCCCGCCCCCCACCCCCCGCAACTGGGCATGCGAACAGGTCTCAGCATTGGTTCCTTCTGCCTTCCTCCCAGTGAGTAGCTCAGTGGTGACTTTGGGTCCCTCTGCTGGCAAAAGTGCTGCAACTGTTTCACGCTGGGATTGTATGCCACTGCTCATGATACTGCGGCTTTTCATTTGATACCCCTGGGACTAATGAGCCAGTGATACTGACATCAGGGGAAGGATGTGCAAGACCAGGAGGCTGACTCATGGGAAGTGGGTTATGCTGTATACTCCCAGTTCAAACCCCGGTTAGAAGTGCCTGTAAACAATCAGCAACCAAGTCTAAAAAGCATTTTAAATGTGATTCTGGCCCCATTCACTCTGGTCAATCAAACTTCCTGTTAGCTGTAGCTGTGCTTAAACATAATTCCCTAACTCAGTGGAAAGTTTGTTGTAGACAGGGCCCTTAGGGACAGAGAATGCCCAGAGACAGGGTATGTCTATGCTTCAAGCTGGAGGTGCAAATTCTAGCTTGAGGAGACAAACCCGTGCTAGCTCTGATCAAGGTAGTGTGCTAAAAATAGAGTGTAGTTGCAGTGGTGGGAGAGGCTAGCCACCCCAACTCCAGACCTAGCATCGTGGATGGGTACATATGAGGGGCAGCTAGCCCCTTATGCCACCAAAGCTACACTTTATTTTTAGCATACTAGTTCAATCAGAGCTAGAATGGGTATGTCTTCTTGAGCTGGAATTTATACCTCTATCTTGAAGTATAGACATACCCACAGGCAGCTGGCATAGCAAAGGAGCTTCTATATAAGCGAGATTAAGGACAACTATGTAGGTAATAAAGGAGAGGAGATAGTCTATAGAGTAGTGAATGGAACAGGTAATAAATGATAATGAAGTCAGAGGATCCTGTTTACACTAGCAGCTGTAGTCATACGAGTGAAGGTAAATATCACCAGGGCTATCAATCCTCATGCTTCAAGGTATGAACTAATCAGCTGGAGTCAGGAAGAAATTTCTGCTGAAGGGGAAATATTGGTTATTGACCTTCTCATAAGTGTTGTTCTTCGAGATGTGTTGCTCATGTCCATTCCAATTCAGTGTACGCATGCCGTGTGCACGGCAGCTGGAAGATTTTTCCCCGAGCAGTATCCGTTGAGTCGCACACCTAATTGGAATTGACATGAGCAATAACTCAAAGAAGAAGGTTTTGTGCAATGAGATGCATTGTGGGTATCTTACACAATACTCTGAAGCATGCATCATTGGTCACAGAATTGGAGACAGGATGCTGGACTAGTTGGGCCATAGGCATTTCCTGTGTTTCTAGAAGTTCTGTCTAAACAAACACATGAGCTTGAAATCTCCCAGGTCCTGAGAATACATTTCTATGGCTGGTGTAGTCAGTCCCAGATGAGTTTATGGGACAATCAGACATTTTAGGGAGAAGAGAAAAATCTTCTTAAACCTCATCTGGAATACACTGGAGAGATGTTTACTTGTATAAAAATGTGATTCTTAGGTGATGCAATGTATCTGAGTTACCCATATTTCTGAGTTTAGATGGTTCAGTAGGTTCTGCTTGGGTTGTGAAAAAATATATTCCATCCCCATCCCTTCTTCAACTGGACACTGGTACATTCCCATCACCAAAGCAGGGTGTTTTCTTACTAAGGAATTATTTTCTCAGAGTGAAATCTTAGATGGCACATGAGTCATTCTAGTCCTCAGTGGCCACAACTAAAACTCCGGATAAACTGGTTTAATCAGCTGGGAAAACAAATGCCCTAAAGAAATTATAGGAATCCCTAGATAAAATACTGAAATGGCACAGGGCCCCGCTCATCAGGAATGAGTTGCAATTGCAGAGCAGCATAGGAAGTCCAGGACTGGGAGTGCTGCACATCAGTATTGAGGGACATCAGCAGACCTGAGCGGGGATCTCAGGAGTGGAATAGCAAGAGGTGCTGCAGGGCAGGGAAACATTGAGGTATATAGGCAGAGTTGTGTTGAAGGCCCAGAACTGGCTGCAGGTCAGGATGAAACAAAAGGAAAAGCAGAGACAAATAAGCCAGAACACATGAGTTGCCAAGACTAATCAGAAATAAAGTTTTCTTTTAATGTTTTGATGTGCATTACATGGACTATAATGTTTTGACAGTGTTCTCCCAGGGGAATTCCACTTAAAATCCCTGCATGCAGTGTGAGATTTAAGCAATAGCAAAGGTTTCTAATGCATTCCCCCAAACTGTGTGAACATGAGACTTAGATATACTGTACAGTAACTATGTAATATATTTATATATCTATATATGTTTACATTCAACTCTATATTCAGAGAGGAGACTTGGTCTAATTCCATTCCCAAGAGCTCCTTCTAACATTTTATCAATTGGCAGGAGTCTCTTTAAGGCCCTGATCCTGCACCATAGAAGTCAATGGGAGCAGGATCCTAGCTTTAAGTCATCTCTTCCCAATGTAGCAGGCATCTGCTCTCTGTATGAACTCATCCTCTACATAGGGCAAAGCTCTGCCCCCTATGTTGTGAGTCTCTATTTATACAGAGGACCTCTGCCTTCTACGAAAGAGAACTATGCCCCTATAGTTCCCAGGGATGGGTAAACTCCCTGTTTGCCTTGGAACTCATTCCCCTGTATAGTGGGTCTGTAGAGAAAAATTCAGCCCCTGTAGAGCAGAGCCCTGCCCCTGCATAGGAAAAATCTGCCCCTATCTTGGGGTATCTTCCTCTAAGTAGGATGTAACACAGCTTCGCTCTGTACAAAGTAGACATTTGTCTGCTATGAAGAGGCTTTTGTGTAGGGCAACTTTACCCTTATACTGCAGAACTCTTCCTGTATCTAGCCATCTCTCCTCTTTATTGTGTCACCCAGGCCATATACAGCAGAATGCTGCTCCTACCGAGTGGAATTATGCCCAATATATCAGGAGGTGGGGAACCAAACAAACTGGCCTTCCCTTATAGTTGGGAACAATACCTTTGTTAGAGACTGAGCTCCGCCTACTCTCCTCCCCACCCCTAGCTGTAGTGAGATAAACTACCTAACTGAGTGGCCCCAGCTGACCTTGTTGCCATAGTTAAGTTGCACTGCTACAGTGATTAAGACCCTTCAGTATTGTAACAGGTGGCTTGCCTGGAAGCTGGAGAGCCTGGGCCTAAAACAATCCTGATGATGAGATGAGCCTCACCTGAGGGGAATCAGGTATGCTAATATAAAAGGCAGCAGGCTGCTGTAGGGCTCAGGTTGAGAGTGTTAGTGAGGGGGCTGTACCAGAGGGCTCAGTGCTAGCCAGTGTGGGTGATTTTGACTTTAGAGGGGGCTGCATTGGGGACTGTTTGGGTTATTTTGTGATTAAGGACTCTATGAGCTTTGTTTGACATTAAGCCAGACCGAGAAAGGAGTGAGGTTAGCCACAACAGAGACAGGGGGGCTTAAGGGGCCTGTAAGAGATAAGGGGCAGGGTGCCTGCAAAGCAGCCCCTGGCCAGGATGGGGTGCTAGTTAAGTGACCACACCACTGTATATTTCACAAACCTCCTCCACTCTGCCCCAGACCACAGTGGAACAGCCCAGTGCTAGGGGGATGAAATCCTTTCCACACAGCTGGCTTATCTCTGCATATGTGCCCACTCCTCTGACCATGGGGCTCTCATCCCCTTGCAGTGTGCAATAGGGCCCAGTCACCCTACCAGTGCCCAATAGTTTATTCCCTCTCTTTTTCCCTGTGCTAACCCAACACGCATTTCCTGCCTCCTGCAAGAGCTCCTGGTGCTGGGGTGGGAGAGGAATTCCACAGAGACTTTTCAGGCAGGTGTGACATTGTATTTTGTGTGTATAAACCTGGGTTGAGCCAAGACTTCCCCAAATTATCCAGGACAAACCTGCTCTTTACCTGAAAGACCCAAATGTTCCATGTCCCTCACCCTAGGAGGTACCAAGATCCTAGCCCACCTCCATGATGTGCCAATTCTTCAACTTTGCCCTTCCCTGGCACAGGAGCTCAACTTGCCAAACAGACTGCCTCTAACTGGCATTTTCTTGGATTGTTTGCAGTGATACCTTTGCTGTGGGTCCCCTGGGCATGGAATAGAGCTGGGAGGAGAGGAGAGGGTGGCCTAGGAGGCGGATGGGTACGCTTCTCAATAAATGTTATGTTTGTATTGTGAAAAATAGATTGCTCTGCTAAGCAAAGATTCTTCATTGGCTACTGTTCCTATGACAGAGGCAGATAGCTTGTAACAAAGGGATTCAAAGCTTCCCAGAGGTGGTTATAAATGAATTACTGCCCACAGGGCCTGTGAGACTTGTCTTGGATTGTAGCTCGGGGTTGTCAAGGTTTAATTCTCAGTCCCAGACTTGTCATTTCCCTGGCACTGAGAGCAGTGTAGAGACGGGGCATGGAGTTTCCTGGGGACTAACACTAGGCTGCCAGGTAGTAAACTGCTGTCTCAGTCCCCTGAGACTGGGCTGGGATGTTCTAAGGACTTTCACTCTGATGCCATGCAAGAACCCCAGATTTGATTCCTACTCTTGAACTTTCTTGAAATGTTACCAGAGTGCTGGTCCTGAGGATCCTTGACCATTGGGGGCTGGAAGAGCTACAGGGGCTGGGCCCAGCATCCTAGGATTTAGTGATTTGTGTAGTCACACAGGAGGCCAGGACACTCAGGTTCGCTCCATCCAAGGAGCGCTGTGGTGACCAGGCCTGGGACTCCCAAAGGGCTTGCACATTGTAGGAGACCTACGTTCTGTCCCCACCTTCATCTCTCTCTTGGGGGTGCGGGGGGGAGAAAAGCAAGAGAAGGAGCAGTGCAGTTATAAAAACCTCTGGGAAATAGGCTGATCACGGCCTGCGAGATCAAGTTTGGGATAAAAGACATGAGCACCCTTTAGAAGAGACAGCAGCTACTAGCAGAGAGAGGACCCGATGCACTGCAGCACCTGAAAGGTGGGGTGGAGGGAGTGAGCTTGTGTTGCAGGAGGGTTAGTAGGACTTGTTTGGGGTTGTAGATGGCGGGTTGACAATGATTCTCTTCTTCCCTTTCCCTCTCTCTCTCCTACTGTTTGTAGTTCACAGAGCATCAGGCTTATTCAGCTCCTTGTTCTGGCCCAATCGGCAGGGAGGGCCTCGGGGCTGACCAGAGCGGCGGATGCGTCGCGGTGGGAGGCCAGCCAGCTGACGGCAGATCTCATCTGGAGACAAAGAAGAGAGTTGCAGAGAGACACAAGACTGAGGATTAGGGCTTCATTCAAGCTCAATTCATCACATGAACAACTAGCAATACAATCTTCATGTTGTCCATATAAACTTGTGGTGGACACTGATTTAAATGGGACAGAGAAGCGAATCCTGAAGCCTTTACTCAGAATTCATTCTGGCCTTATGCAGGCACCATTCACACTGAAGTCACTGGGAGTTTTGCCTGGATAAAGACAGGGCTAGATTCTGCTCTCATTTACATTAGTGTAAGTCAGAAGCCACTCTTTTAAGCTCAGAGGAGTTGCACCAGATTTCCCCTGGTTGCCTTTCAGTAAAGACTTGCCCAGGATTTGCAGAGTCTAATCTATTGATTAGGGAACACCATGTAAATTCCAGGTGAAACCAAGATCTTTAAAACCCATTGCTAGAGCCCGCTTAAACTATTTATTTTGCTACTGATTTGATCCATTCCCAGTGTTTCTCAGTGTTAATACAGAGCTTTGTGGCACTTCAGATCTGGATCCACATGTGGATTTTGCAGCTGAGCTGCTTCCTATCTTTCTAATTGTTCAGATCCAAGGGTTTGGTTTGGCCTGTCTCCCCTGTCCCCAAATTTTGGGGATGTTTGAGTCTAGATCAGAACTCTCTGCTCTGGCCCATCTCTAGAAGTTCATATGAACTTGGGATTAAAGTTGCAATTTCTATCAGGGAAGTGACTCTGCAAATCCTCAAATTCCAGCTTCTTCCTTTTGTGTTGATTTCAGCTTGGTTTACAAATCAAGAGGAGTTTTCTAAAAGCTGCTGTCTCATTCTCAAAACTGGGACCTGAAAATCCAGGTAAGCTCTCTCTGCTTCTTGCATCACAACCAGTAATAAAGTTTCCTTAATGGGAAGCCAGCTAATGATTCTACTGATAATGCACAAGGCAGAATAAATCCTTGCTAGCTCTCCCATAGCTTTATGGGCTCTCCAGGACTAACAGCAATAAAAACATGACTGTTGATACTGGTCTACAGGCACTTCTTTTACTGCTTTTACTATACCCATTTAGAAACAGACATATTTAAAAAAGTGCTACCCCATGGTATGGACAACATGATACTCCCGAAGCAGCCGGCTGCTGGCACGTCTCCACGCGCCCCTGGCACGGGAGGGGAGGCGGCTCTGTGCGCCACACCCCTGCTACAGGTAGCCCATGGAGACTCGCTGCCCCTGTCCCCTCAAAGGGCACACAGAGATGTGCCAGCAGCAGGGCTAAGGTGGCTCCCTGGCTGCTCTGCCTCCCCCCAGCAGCTTCGCTCTCAGAAGGGGCTGGCATGTCCCTGCAGCCCCAGGGGGGAAGGAGTGTCTCTGCGCGCTGCCCCCACCCTGAGCATCAACTCCAGAGGTCCCATTGCCTGGGAACTGCAGCCAATGGGAGCTGCGGAGTGTGGACAGTGGTGCGGAGTGTCTACACGTGTGGACAGTGGTGCGCAGAGACCCCCTCTTCCCACCACCCCCCGGCCTAGGAGCCACTGCCAGAGGGGTGTATGTGCCGGTCACTTTGGGAGCTGCGCTGCCTCCCCCACCCCAGCCTGGAGCCCACACCCAAACTTCCTCCCACACTTCTGCGCCAGCCCAGAGCCCGCCCGCCCGCCCGCCCTCCCTAGCGCACCCCACCCCCCTGTCCCAATCAAGGTATCTCGCTTTATTTTCATTTACTTCCCATTACTTATAATAGAGGAGGAGGATGAAGAAAAAAGAATGAAAATTTGTGTCTGTGTTGGGGGGGGAGATGAGAGACTGTTTTTTCTTGGGTGGGCCCCCAAAAATGAAGCTGTGCACAGGGCCTCACTAACTCTAAGGTGCTTATATAAGGCTGTGTCTACACTGCCACCTTCAGCATTAAAAACTCTAGTCGTTCAGGGGTGTGAAAAAACACACCCATGAGCGACAAAAGTTTTAGTGCTGAAAAGCACCAGTATACACAGCGGTTTATCGCCGGGAGCCGCGCTCCCAGCGATAAAGCTGCCACCGCTACTTCAGGGTGGGTGTTTTAAATCACCGGGAGAGCTCTCCCCTGGCGATAAAGCGTGTCTACATTGCCCACGTCACGGCGCTGCAGCAGCCGTGCTGAAACATGGGCAGCGTAGATGTACCTTTAGTATAGTTTATAGATCTATAGCTTATTCCTGTAAATTTGCCCAAATAAGCTATACTAGCATAAGTACTTGTATACCACTATAACTGCATCCACACTAGAAGGGTGGGATGGCCTTTCGAAACTGGCATGGTTAAATTGGTACAAACACTGTGTGCATACAGGTTTTAGTCAAATCGGCAACTGGATGGGAGAACAGAAAGCGGGAATGGGAGAATCACTTTTCTGGTTAAAAGAAAAGGAGTACTTGTGGCACCTTAGAGACTAACCAATTTATTTGAGCATAAGCTTTCGTGAGCTACAGCTCACTTCATCGGATGCATTCAGTGGAAAATACAGTGGGGAGATTTATATACATAGAGAACATGAAACTGTCTCAGTGTGTATGGTAACACCCATTGTTTCATGTTCTCTATGTATATAAATCTCCCCACTGTATTTTCCACTGAATGCATCCGATGAAGTGAGCTGTAGCTCACGAAAGCTTATGCTCAAATAAATTGGTTAGTCTCTAAGGTGCCACAAGTCCTCCTTTTCTTTTTACGAATACAGACTAACACGGCTGCTACTCTGAAACTTTTCTGGTTATAACTCACACTTCAGGTTTCTCTGTATGTCAAATTGCTGCTCAAGCCAAGGTCTGACTCTAGTAATATGCTAACCCACAATCTGGGACTTTAACTAAGCTTCTGCAGTGTACACACAGGCCATTACTGCACAGCTAGCTGGGGCACTGTAGATTCACACCCTGGACTGCCATGCAGTAACTTGCCATGTAGGCAAGCCCTGAGGATCAAATCCAGACCTGCTGTAACTTGATGCAATGACACTGTCTTTTGTGGAGTTGCACCCTTTTACACCAGGGCTACCCCTGTCCCTTTAACATTAATTTAGACACCATATTATTGGCTGTGAATGCTAGCATAATCAATTACACCCTGCATGCATGAAGTGCAGTTTATACATTTATACATTGCAGCTCATGTGTGTAAACAGCAGAATTAGGCCTGTCACAAGGATGGGAACCAGCCTCATCTCTGCCAGACTTAGCCCACCTCTGCAGGAGGAGGAAATGAATACAAGGGTCATAGGATGAGGAGCATGGGAGTGAAAACAAGGCCAGCTAGGGGATATAAGGGCAGCCTGAGTTCAGTCAGAAAAGAGACTCCAGGAAGAGCAAATCTGGGAGTGACTGCTGCATTAAAGAGCTGAACAGCTAGAAAAGGTCCATGGAGAAGGCCTAGGCTGTGTAGCTCTACACATCTGCTTGGTGGGTCTGGGAGGGAGACCTGCAGGGAACAGGAACCTGCTAGAGGAAAGCCTCAGCAGTGACAAGACTAAGAAACCTGGATGAACAACTTATGGTGTTTTGAACTTTAATAAACCAGACTCTCAAAAGGGAAGGGTTAGTGAGACTCTCAGTGTGAAGTCTGATTTACTAAGGAAGATGACCAGCTGTAGTCAGGGCCCAGGGAAGAGACACCCAGGGCAGTTTGACAGGTAGCAGGAATCTTGGAAGCTGGCTACTATGAAGCAGATTCTGGAAGCAGGGACAAGGAGAGGAAAGAGTCTGCTAATAATGTTTCTGGTGTGGAGAAGTGGGACACACCAGGAAGGTCTGCTCTGGTAAGAGCTGTGACTTTGGGGAAACTTTGGATGGGCTAGCACCAGCAGGAGAGTGAATTTGTGTGGGGGGGTGGAGGGTGAGAAAACCTGGATTTGTGCTGGAAATGGCCCACCTGATGATCACTTTAGATAAGCTATTACCAGCAGGACAGTGGGGTGGGAGGAGGTATTGTTTCATATTCTCTGTGTATATATAAAGTCTGCTGCAGTTTCCACGGTATGCATCTGATGAAGTGAGCTGTAGCTCACGAAAGCTCATGCTCAAATAAATTGGTTAGTCTCTAAGGTGCCACAAGTACTCCTTTTCTTTTTAGGAACATATGTGTCCATGGTTGTGGGAGAGCCTGGAGGATACAGGGAAATATCTCCCCCAAATAGAGAGGTAAAAGGGAAGAGGTTGCATCAGGTTCCATTTTGTAGACTGCACAGTGTAGGTTACAGGGCCACTGTAGTAGGGATGGGTGTGGGTTCCCCCATGATACCACCTTATAAGGTGGTACAGCCACCCCTGTCACTAAGAAGGGAGTGAGGGGAGCCTAGGAGGGTTGGAAGTTGAGCCCCAACCTCTTTAAAGGCCAGCCCACCTTGTGCCACTGCCCCATCAACCACTAGTTCCCCCAGAGAGAAATGTCACTTGACAGGCACTGTAGTTTCTTATAAAGGAAAGCACACCTGGACAAGACTGCTCCCCTTCCCCACAGAGCTCTGCTCTGCTGCTCCTCCGCCCAGCCCAGCTGTCACTCACCTTGCATGAATTCATCCTCCTTGCAGATCACACGAGAGCACACCTCCTTGTTTATTATGTACATGCGACGCACACTGAGGGGGTGAGTGGCCACCAGAATCATGTCAAGGATGGGAGAGAAACAGAGAGAGACTGAGATTCATGAGAACAAAAAGTGATATAGGTAATAATCCTTCAAACAAGGAGGCAAATCCTGAGTTCCAGTCAGTCCCTACTAAGGGAAAACCCCTATTGATGTCAACAAGGCATTTTGCCTGTGTAGAGACTTCAAGATTTCGCCCAATACATAAATAATAATTAATAGCTCACAGAACATTTTACAACTTCAAAGAGTTACAAATATATCAAGTATTACACTTCATTAGATAAGAACCTCAAGTACACTCTTAGGATTCACTTCACGCACTTCCCTTCCCTTGTAGGGACTAGAACTAGGGATAGAACCCTTGTGTCTCCATAGAGAGCACACTTTCTGAGCTGGATGTGCTCTTTGTGATAGTGAGTTGGTTTTTCTTCTGGGGATTGCAGGCTTCTTACCTGGTAACACACAGGTAACTGATACACTGTTTCACAGGTTTGTGGACGGAGTACAGGCGTGTGCAAGGGAACTGCTCCTCACGGCATTCTGGGAAACACACACAGGTGAAAATGAATGACAATGGTGGTTGTGATGTGGACACAAGTTCACTAGGCACTGGACGGCAAGCCTCAATTCATTTTACAAAAGCCTCCAAACTGGGGCTGGATTGGATCTACTGCTCAAGAGATTAAAGGCTCCATACCCCATTTCATGATATTCTTGAGGTGCTGGGACTGTTTAGAGAAGAGAGGCCAAGAAAAAGGTGTCATACTAAATAATAAATGGTCTAGAAGATGAGGATAAAGCATTTCTATTCCCCTTAGCTCATAATTCAAAAACAAGAGAACATTCAGTACAGTATACAATTAACCTGTGGAACTTACTAACACAATATTACTCAGAGTTTAGAATAATTCTGAATGGACATTTATGCAAATAATATCATCTGCAGCCATATTATTTAAGATACAGATTTATAAAGGATATAAAACCTCATGCTGCACATTAGAACTCAGCCACATTTCTTGTGGGGTCAGGAAGAAACTTCCCCTGTGGGCAGATTATTCCATAACTGTCCAGCATGGGGTTACTTGAATATAAGAATAGCCATACTGGGTCAGACCAATGGTCCATCTAATCCAGTATTCTGTCTTCTGACAGTGACCAGTACTTGCACCTCCCTCTGAAGCATCTAGTACTGCCCAAATGAATCTAGTCAGGTCCGGTTTGATTCAATCTGGCTATTTCTATGTTCCCACTGGATAGGAAATGATGCCCTAAAGGTGACAGCTCCATGTCCCCTACTTTGAATCTCAAAACTAAACATACCTGGTATCTCTGTTGTGTTTACACTGGCAGTCGGAACTAGAAAACAAAGGATTTGTGAATTTTGGATTATTTGCTATTTTCTAAAATAGACAGTGAAAAACAGGGGCCCTTAAGTGTAAAGGAGGGAGCACGGGGAATGTCTTACCCAAGGGACAGCAGCTCCTTTAACAAAGCAGTATCCTTTGCCCCACTAATGCCCTGTGGTATGGGCACTGGTACCCCCAGAGGTGGGGCAAAAGGGAGCTCACATTCCTTCTAATAGTGCAGTTCCTCTCCACCCTTGATCAAACCTTGCCTTGGGGTGTCAGCCTTAGGTACCGAACCAGAGACAGGCCAGAAGGGAGATCAGGTTAATGTCTCCTTCACAAGAGAGACATCATTTATATTAATAAAGCAGTTGTACGCACCTTGTTCATCTGCTACTATGCCCTCAGTATCAGGCAGACCTGTTGACAAAAAACAAGTGTGTAAAGGAAGTGGAATTTCTGGAGAGTTACAGCTGGAGTTAGGGGCAATGGAGAAAGTTGGACTCTGCGTGTGAGGTGAAGGGGATCTCTAGTGGTGATACAGCTGGGAGTAGGGAAAGGAAGGCCCCGAGTGGTCCCACTATTGTCGGAAGAATGAACTTACCAAAGTCATCAGTGACAGATTCTATGTCAGGCACAACTGGAAAAAAGAGAGAATTATCTGAAAGATCCTGCTTTGAGTTTTTGGTCCCCCCACCCCAGCTTTGCCAATGCTCCTCAGTCCTGCCCTGCAGCCCCCCTGCTATTCCAGTGCTGGGCTCCCCACCCAGCTCTGCCAATGCCCCTCAGTCCTGCCCTGCAGCCCCCCTGCTATTCCAGCCCTTAAGTCTCTCTGTATGCTGATTTTTGTATGATGAGCCCCAAAAAGGACTAAGTTTAGCCCCAGTAAAAGTCCTTCCAGTTGTGCCCTTAAGTCCCATTTGAACCTGACTCACTGATGGCAAAAAGCTGAAGCCTGCATTCCCCTTCTGACCTGCATCACCACTAATTCACATGCAACATAGACCCTCTATCTATCCGATGTTCTCTCTGCGGCTATGTCTACACTACGAGTTAGGGGTACGATTCCCAGCTGGCATGCACGTAGCCCTTCTGAGGATGTGTCCAGGGGTTTCGGGTAGGTTTGTACTTGGCATGGCGAAGCTGTGCGGCCCCTGCCCATGCTACCATGGCTATGCTACTATTTGCACTAGCTCTCATCAAGCTCATGCAAGTACGTGTACACAAGCTGGTGATCACACTACTGGCCTGTAGTGTAGACATAGCCTGATTCTCAATCTTTCTCCACAAAAACAACAAGGAGTCCGATGGCACATTGAAGACTAACAGATTTATTTGGGCATAAGGTTTCGCAGGTAAAAAAACCACTTCTTCAGATAATATATATATATATATATATATATATATAGTGTATAAGATTTGTATATTGTATAGTGTATAATAATGCCTGCATCTGTAATTTTCACTCCATGCGTCTGAAGAAGTGGGTTTTTTACCCATGAAAGCTTATGCTCAAATAAATCTGTTAGTCTTTAAGGTGCCATCAGACTCCTTGTTGTTTTTGTAGATACAGACTCACACGGCTGCCCCCTGATACTTGACACCATGCAAGGCACTAATCTTTCTCCAGCATTTCTAAAGCATTCTTTGCCATGCTATCTAGGTGGTGTGAGCAGTGCTTAATTTGTAATGAAAGAGGCGCTGGGGCTCAAGCAATTTTTTTTATTTTCATAACTGACATGGCAAGCCCAGGGGTGCCGAGGCTATGAACTGCCATGCCTAGAGGTACCAGGGCTCAGCCCTGGTACAAATTAAGCCCTGGGTGTGAGGGGATAATCAGAAACAGTGAGATCCTTCTAGAAGAGACCATCAGTCTCCAGCCTGCTCTTCATTATATTATTATATAATTATTATTTATTCCAGCTGTGGGCTTTTCACTATGAATGTGCTGTAGCTTTTCTTCTGTTCCAGTACCTTGGGAAATGCTGCAGGGGGAGAGGTGGGTACTTCAGTGAGGCCCCAAGATGATCAGGGAGGGACTCTTCTTTGAATAGGCATTCCAGAGCCTGGGGCGTGCTCTCAAGGCTTTTCCTCTGGCTCTTATGAAGGTTTACACTTGGGCTTCGTTAACCATAGTGGGCCAGATGATTCTAGCTGCCATGATGAGCCCCTAAGATAGCATGAGCCTATCCAGTAAATATACACACAGCACCTCTCCCCATCTCTATCCACCCCCTCCTGGGACTTGGGACTCTCACTGGCAAGCCTTGGATCTCATAGCAGTGTGTTTTGCATGCAAAAACTGAATTATTACTAATCTTGCTCTGAACACTCATCTTGGGAGAGAGGCATCCATATATCCCCTATCCTGGGCACTGATTTTTCTGCCTCCGTTGGCCTGGGATTGGCTAGAGACCACATCAGGGGGATATTCCTATAAGAATTAATAATATGTCCATCTCTGTTTACTTCTTTTCCCTTCACCCCCCTTTCAGCCTGCTTATTACTAGCCCTCCTCATTTTCCACATATCTGTCCCGTGGAGTACTCTAAAAGGGCCACTAGCTGTCAGCAAACATGCATGTAATTTGAGTCACAGTGCTGCCCAGATGTGTCAGTGAACCTCTCCAAATCCTCTGCTGTTTCACAGGAAGTCTCTTCTTCCCTGCAACCACCCCAGGAAGTTCAGCTCAGAGCCTGAGCTTCACATTTCACTGCTTCTTAAAATGCACCCATCCCCAGAGTATAAAGGTGCCCTGTGTACACAGGCTAGTTCAAGTATAAAACAGCCATTTCCTATAGACCAGGACACCTCCACCCCAAATTAACCTACCTGTGAGGAGTGCAGAGAGAACCCCAACAACAGCAGGGAACTCCAGGGTTGTATTGTAAAGGACATTGTAAAGGCACAGATGGGTCATCAACAAACCCCAGATCTAAACCCCTACTGAACTCTGGATCCAGATCCCAACTTCTCAGCTCTGGCCCATCTTGGGTGGCCAGACTGGAGAGAGAGATGTCGGAGGTTGAGGAGCTGCCCTGCCCCTCGTTCCTGCAGCACTCACCTTTGGGATGGACAGCTAGGGAATTCAGGGTGAACAGGGTGGAACCTAGCCCATACTGCAGAGAGGTGTAAAGCTGGGCAAGTGGAGTGTGGGTATAATGTGCTCCCAATCCTGTGCCCTACGCAGACATTTGGTGGCCACATTCTGCAAGAGTCACAGCTTCCAAGAAGCCTTTGAGAGTAGAATGTGTTGCAGGAGTGTAGCTGTGAGGTGACTAAGGGATGGCCGGCTAAGGCAAAGTCTGCCTCTGAGAGGAGAGGAGAGGAGAGGGCATAGTCATGTGGCACCTTATGTTTTCAAAGCACTATACAAACATTAACTCATTTATCCTCTCACCTCTCCTTGGAGGTAGGTAACTATCATAATCCCACTTTAGAGATGGGAAAACTGAGGCACAGAGAGATCATGTGACTTGCCCAAAAGTACACAATGAGTCAGTGGTAAAACCAGGAATTGAATCCAGGTCTCCTGACATATAGTCCACTGTTCTCGCCACTAGACCATGCTCTCCTTATATACCAATGGTTCCACACTTGAGTACCATTGAGATAGCAGTAAGGTTCCTCTAACTTCCCACTGTTAGAGAGTGACTCAGTGTTAAGTTGTCAGAACCCAGGATCCTCCTTGTCTCACAATCCTTTGCTATAAAGCATCAATTCACAAGCAATCCCTGAGCACACAAAGAAATACATGCACTCAGAACCATAATAAATAATGAATTATTGAAGAACTCTAAAGTGCTTTGCAGATTGGTACATACAGAGCTTTTTTACTCAGCACTGAAACACAGCCATATCTCTGGTTCTTCCCTGCCTCTTGTCCTGCACATCCACGCCATGTCCATATCTTGGCGTTTCTTCCTCCATAACATCTTACGATCTAGTCTTTTCCCTCTGTCCACACAGCTAAAGTTCTCATCCAGGGCCTCATCTTCTCCCATCTTGATTTCTGCAATCTCTGGATCCCTGATATCCATACCAGCCCTCTCCAGTCCATTCATCCCAGCTGCAAAGAGCTTTGCTTGTCACTCTCACTACATCAGTCCCCTCTTCAGACCCCTCTACAGGCTCCTCCTTTTCCATCACATCAGGTTCATGTCCTCACCTTTAAAGGTCCTTCAGAATTCTACCTTCCCCTATTCATGTGGCTTTGTCTCTTACTGCATTGCCTCACCTTACTTTGCCAGTGATCCAACCTCAACCACCCATTTTAGGTGCTTCTCCCACAGACATTTTTGAGCTTTCTTCCAGGCTACTCCCTCCGCAGGGAATGCCCTTGCCTAGCTATTCCATAAAGCCATGACCCTGTTCTCCTTCAAATTCCTCCTCGAGATCCACTTTTATCATGATGCTTACAGTAAATTGCTAAATAGTAGTGACTGGGCAGAGAGTCCATGGGGATTCCTGAGATTAATTTGTTTGTATCTCTGTGTGTGTATACACACACACACACACATATATCTACAAACATCCTAATATCAAATCAGTGACTGAAAACCTGCTAATTTGTAACCACTATCACTGTTATCCTTGTCCCTTGTCTTGGCTTAAATTATATTGAAAGTTCTTTGGGACAGTGACTGTCTCTTACTATGTGTGTGGGAATACACCTTATGCAATGAGATATCGATCCCGAATGGGGTCTTTGAGTGCTACCATAATACAAATGATTAATAACAACCACCATTTCTGGGGTAGAACATGACAGCTGTTTAACATTGCATAACTGCACTACACAACAGCTGAGGCCAGGAAGTGAAGAACTGAATAGCAGTGAGATAGAATATGATTATCCAGGACGTTAGGACCAACACACCTATCCCTGCACAAAGTACCATCAGATTTTTAACAGCCTTGAGTGATTGGTGTGCCTATTTTAGGCTACATACAAAGGAGAACACCTCCAAAATCTTAATACCCCCAGCACCATACTGGGGCATTGGGATTAGCACTTCTTACTGATTAACCAGTACCTTGGTTTTCTTTCAGGCCATGCGCATGTGCGCGCACAAACACACACACACAGCAGACAGCAAGACTTACTTGTTGGGATTGGGGTTACTTGACAGTTGACCATAGGTAGAAACCAGTCTGCAAAATAAGGTAGGAGAGGGGAGAGTGGGGAAAAGACAGAAGGGGGATTTCCATAAACTGGAGTCGATATAATTATAATTAATAATAAGACTGCCATGAACTAGCTAATGTATGTAGAGGATACCACTGCCCTCCACTGGATGGAATGAGAACTGCTCAACTCTAGTCTTAGGATCTATACTGCTAATAGATAAAGGAGATTGCCCTTTAGTTTAAGAAGTGTCAGAGCAAGAGCTCTACCATACATTTCGGAGTGGGCACAAGAGTAACAGCTGTGGAGTTGTAAGGGGCCACAGATTTGTTCCCAGACTTTGCATTTCCGCAGCACCTTTTGCAGACCTTGTTGCATTTTACAAACATTAGCAAATTAAGCTTCACAATCCCCCTCTGAGGTAGGTTGAGTATCACGCTCCCTATTGTATAGGAGAGGGAACTGAGGCACTGAGCGAGGAAGTGACTTACCTGAGGTCACAGAGCCAATCATTGGCACAGTAAGGAACAGAAGGCAGGTCTCCTGGTGCCCAGTCAACAGCTGTAACCACGAGACTATCTTTCCCCTCTGTTATGGAGCACCACACATTCCCTGACAATAGGCTGGAAGATCATTTACATCCAGGCATATTATAAGGTGAGAAAAAGGGATAGGCAGAGAGCAATGGATGCCACCTGTGCACTCAGTGTAACAGAGGAGGAATAGAAACTGAGATACACCGTTCACTTTCAAAATGCCAATGGCAAGAGAGCTGCTTCTTTAGGCAGCTCGAAACAGGTAAAAGTTTTCTGCTAAACAAGGGAGGAGGAAAACATCTGCATAACTGGGGGGAGGGGGGAGAACTGGTAGGAAAAGGCTGGTGATACAGGGTAGTGCAGAACAAATTAGAACTAGGACAGATGTAGGAATGATCCACTGTATAGTATACCCCACTGGCCCTGTCAAACTGTGCCCTATACACTATGCCCTTGAGCTTTCTACCCTCATTCCATCAGAGTTACCACTGAAGTTACTGGGAGCTTTGTGTGAGTAAGGACTACAGGACTGGGGATTGAAAGCCCTATTTATCTCTTACTTCAGTAATAGTTACTTGTATCCTGCAGAGGGAGAATTGGGCCCGTGGGCATAATCCTACTCTGCCGCATTTCAAGAGTTTTCTCAGGACCCTCTGTGTCCCGTCCCAGTGGAGTCCCCAGCAATGACTGTGCAGCTGGCCACCTTCACTGGCCATTGATCCAGGAAGTGCCAGGTATTACACACATCACCCAGGTACAATAACCCACTGCTTCTCAAAGCTGTTCCTACTCTGGCCCATCTCTTAATGGTAACATGCAAAGTGGGGGGAAATGGGCTTGTGCCCCTTTTTCTCTCTTTGTGATGCAGAAGGAAGGTCTGACATGCTGAACATTTTATAAAGTCTGCTTATTTTCTACATTAGAAATTCACTTCTTGTCTAGCCTTTCCTCTCCAGGAGACTAAGGACAACTAGAAAATTGGTCTGATTATAAAATCTAAGCATTATAAAATCCAAGAGGGAGAGGGATTTCTTTTAGGCTGTTTAATTTGTTTGCTTGTATTAACACCTACTTAATTCAAACTCGTGACAAACACTTAGGAGGAAAGCACTCATTGTTAAAGATGTGGCACCCTCCCCCCTTACTTAGGAGGGTGAAAAAGCCGCACTCCAGTTATCTAAATCTCCAACTAACCTTCAACAAAACAAAATGACCAACCTGGACATTCCTGATATTTCTAAGGGCCTGTCTACACTTGAAATGCTTCAGTGGCACTTGCTGTATTGGTGCTGCTGTAGCACTTCAGTGTAAACGCTACCTAACCGGACAGGAGAGGTTATCTCACTGGCATTGGTTATGCACCTCTCTCAGAGGCAGTGGCTAGGTCAGTGGAAGAATTCCGTCAACCTAGTGTTGTCTACAACCGGGGTTGGGTCAGCTTAACTACACCACTCGGGGTGTGGATTTTTCACCCCTCTGAGCAATGTAGCTAGGTCAACCTAACTTCTTAGCGTCGACCTGGCCTGGGGTAAAAAACAAGGAGGAGAAAACCCTTTCAAGCCTTGTTTGTGCATCAGAAAAACACCAAAAAAGACACAACCTCTTTTTCTTTTTACTTTGTAGGTCACCTTTAAGATCAAGATTGTGCCAGGGCTGCCTCTCCTCCCTGCTCTGTGAGTCACCAGCTCACATTTGCTCTGTGATAGCTAAAGTACTTGCTTATGGGAAAAAGTACTATTAGGAACAGAAACATGCCAGATCCAAACAGCTACTGAATAATGGGGATGTCCCTCTCTGGATCCAAACATTTCAACACAGGCTGATCTCTAATGATGGGAGAATGGAATAAACTTGCTTTAATGTGAAGGGTGCAACTGTCAGGCTATATCCCCAATTCGATACCTATCCCCTGGTTCTCTCTCTCCTTGGGTATTCCTCATTCTCTTCTCCACTCTCTCCAGCTTACTCTTCAGTTTTGTGCTGCCTTCTCCAATTTTGGTGTCATCTGCAAATTTAATCCCACTTGAATTTATGACAAAGAAACTCAGAGCACAGACAGACATGAAGCAGCAGGTGGAGAGAAGCTTGGAATCCTGAGCTTAATTGGTCAGAAAAGCCTCTGGAAAGCCAATGAGGCCAGGAATGGGGAACAACCAGCAGAAAGCATCCATGCTTGAAGACTGATAGATGTTTTTCACCACTGTGACGGAACAAGTTCCATGGACCAGCTGGACGTGCTCTGCATACCCGATCTGAGACGCTGCCCCAGGCAGTGTCTGGGAGACCAGGGTTCCAACGATCTGCTGCCCCCCATCATATCCAGCTGAGAATACATTGTGCTCCCCACTGAGCACATACGACAGCTACACCTTTTCCTAACCGTTGGTCCTAAGCCACCTCTCACATACATCTATGTCACGCCTGTGTAACTCATTGACTGCAAGGAGCCCCTCTTGATTTACACCAGTGTGAGAGGAGGCTCATAATATTTAGAGGAGCTGTTCACTGACTCCTCCATCTCTGTCTGGCCACTCCAACCTGTTTCCGTTCATCCCACCAACCAGGCAGAACCAAGCAAAATGGCAACTATGGTTGGTAGGGGAACAATCTGCATACATGCATTTCCCCTCTGCTCAGACTCCCTGAACCTCTCTCTGCTCCTATCCATGCTACTTAGGAGAAGGAGAATATATGGGCACTGATCACTGCTTCTCAAACTTCCCTCCAGCATTCTCTCCTGCACTCTCCCCTTTTTCTTCCCCTGTCACTCTCCATCTGTGTGTGTGTGTGTCCTTCCCGTCTTGTCACTGAACAGTGGTCTCTGTGTGAGCCTCCACGTGGCAAAGAAAGGGGAGAGAGCCCTGATGTGGCTTCCATGGGGCGGTGACTCACCAGCTGGGAGGACAGAGAGGGCTATGATGCACAGCAGTGCACGGGCTCCAAAAGTCATCATTCCTACAAAGTGAAAGAGAGAGGGGTCAGATGAGAGTCTGGCACAAACTGCACCAGGAACAGGGAGACCTTCCCCCTGCAGGCCAGACACTGTCCTCACCCACTGACTGCAAATCCCTCTCCCAGAAACACTCCTTTTCCTCATCCTCTCTCCCTCCATCTATCTCCCTCCTGCTCTGTCACTGCCATTCTCCAGCTCCTTTCCCAGACATTTTGGATTGGAGATAGCATCCTGTCTGCCTTCTTTCTTTCTCCTTCCACCTCCCCTCTCATTTCATTTTCTCTCTCCCTCCATTCGTTCTCTCTCCCCATCCATCCACCCCAAATATTCATCCCCTCCCTCTCTTTTTCTCACCCATTTGCTCATGTTATTGCCTTGAACCCTTAGAAAAGTTTCCCATCATTATCTCCCTCCTCCCCCTTCTCTCAGGAACTTATTCTTTGGGGTGTTGGGGAAAGGGATAGAGTCTCCTTCACTCACTGTTGTCCACGATCTCCACTCTCTTCGGCTGCAGACGCTGTCTCTTCCCCCTTTGGCTGGTCCTCTACTTTGGCTGGAGTGTGAGGCACACACAGCCACTCCCAGAAAACGTTCCACTTTTGGTCGTCTTCAAAATACGATTTTAGAAAAAAACAGAGAGAAGTAGCAGGATTTGGTGGTATAATGCGGATGGAATGAGAGGAAGGGGGGGGGTGAGGAGAAACAGCCCACACCCTCATTCCAGTTTATTATGATCCAAAGAGAGCCAGCTCCTCCCGTTCCCTCTGGATGGGCCAGTGCCAGGGATGGATTCCCAGTATCTATGTCATACACGTGTGTCCTGTTTCACTCTGCCATCCAGTGCAGAAACCCTCTCTCCCTCCCACCTTCTCTCTCCTGGGTCTCCCCCCTTCTCTTTCACTCCCTCCTCTCTCACACTTTTTCCCCCGTCACTCAGCCATTTGCTCTTACCCCATTGCTTTAGGTTATGGCTACACTTTAAGCTCTCTAATGCAGGCGTTCTCAAACTTCATTGTGCTGTGACCCCTTTCTGACAACAAAAATTAGGACACGACCCCAGGACGGGGGACCGAAGCCTGAGATCTGATGGCCTGGGTGGGGGGACCGAAGCCTGAGATCAGCTCGCGATCCGCCGGCCTGGGCAGGGAGCCAAAGATGAAGCCTGAGCCCCACTGCCCCAGGCTTGGGGGGGCCAAAGCTGACTCCCAAGGGTTTCAGCCCTGGGTGCGAGGGCTGAAGCCCAAGCCATGGCACCCAGGGCTGAAGCCCTTGAGCTTCAACCCTGGGCACTGGGGCTCAGACTTTGGCTTCAGCCCCAGGCCCCAGCAAGTCTAACACCAGCCCTGGTGACTCCATTAAAATGGGAGCATGACCCACTTTGGGGTCCTGACCTACAGTTTGAGAACCGCTGCTCTAATGTAACCGCTCTAAGCCGACGGGAGAGAGCTCCCTCATCAGCTTAAACTACTCCAGCCCTGCAAGTGGAGGTAGCTATGTTGGCGGGAGAAGCTCTCCTGCAGAAGTAGCACTGTCTTACACCAATCCTTAGGTCGGTGTAACTTACGTTGCTCACACCCCCAAACGACATAAGTTATATCGCAGTAAGTGTAAACATAGCCTTAGTCCCTTTCTCCCCCACCCTATCTTCCTGCTATTCTCTCATGCATTGAAGCACTGCCAAGACTCACCTGGATTTCCCTAACAACTGTTTAACTTTTATTAAAACTCCAGAGCTTAGAAATCGCAAGAGTCATTCTCCCTATGCTAAAGGAATGCACGCTTCTCACTACCTGTCCATAAACTGCTCTGCTCTGTCACCGGACAAATTAATGAAAAAGCACAGGTGTGGCTGCAACACCGTACCTGCTGTTATCTGCTCCCAGGCACTCCTAGGTAACAGGAAGCACCAGGGCCCTGGGTTATAATTCGACCACCTGCCAAATTCTCAGAGTTGATTTACTAGTGTCGAACAAATCCCTGTAGAAAGCATATTGTTTCTCTCTCTCTCTCTCCATTTTCCTGTTACTCTCTCTCTCTCTCTCTGTCACTCTCAGAGGATTGTTGGAGCGAGGCTGAGAGTGGCAGTGGCGGATTAGCCACTGGACCGATGGGGCCCTGGCCAATTGGGAGGCCCTGGAAAAAAATCTGCCACCGGGTGGTGGAAGCCCGGAAGCCCTGGCAGAGATGCTTGGCGGGTGGAGTAGGGGAAGCCCCAACACCTCAACCCAGGTAGCAGCACTGGGAGGGGCAGAGGGAAGCCTCCATTCCCTGACCCTATTCCTGGCATAAGCGCCAGGAGGCATGGGGGAAGTCCCTACGGCCTGACCCCAGCTGCGGCCCTGGGACTGGAGGCACTCTTGCTTCCTGCCACGGCCTCAGGGCTGGGGGAGCTGTCACTTCCTGCTGCGGCCCTGGGGCCTTGGCATGGGAAACAGAGCTTCTCCGGTCTAGGATGGGCAGAAAGGAGCAAATGAATTGCCAGCCACAGTGTGTGTTTAAGGGGGAGTGTGTGGAACGGGGGGGCTCAGGTGGAAGGAGCGGAACAGGGTGAGGCCATGGGCGGGGCTGCAGGTGGAAGGGGTGGAATGGGGGTGGGACCGCAGGCAGAAGGGCTGGGGAGGGGCCCCTCCACTTGTTCTGGCCCAGGCCCCACAAAACCTTAATCCGCCTCTGGAGAGTGGGTGTGCTTTGCTGTTCTTTCTGCTTGGGATATGGAGCTTTGGTTTTTGTGTTTTAGTTTTGGAGTTTGGGATTTAATTTCAGGACTTCGTTTGTTTTAGTAGGCTTTTGTCTGCTCTCTGGACTGGGGGGACAGAGACCTCAGTTTGTTGCAGATTCTGAGGGTTTAACGCAGAGGTGGGCAAACTACGGCCCACGGGACCGTCCTGCCTGGCCCTTGAGCTCCTGGTTGGGGAGGCTAGCCCACAGCCCCTTCCCTACTGTCCCCCCTCCCCTGCAGCCTAAGCTTGCCCTGCGGACAGCGCGGCTGGCTCCGTCCAGGCAGCAGGGTGTGAGCTGCATGGTAAGGGGGGAGGGGGCAGGGGGTTAAATAAGGGGTAGGGGGTCCCGAGGGATGGTCAGGGCACAGGGATTGGGGGGGGTTGGATGGGTCGGAGGTTCTGAGGGGGGCAGTCAGGGGGCGGAAAGTGGGAGAGGGTGAATAGGGGGCAGGGCCAGGCTATTTAGGGGGAGGCACAGCCTTCTCTACCTGGCCCTCCATGCAGTTTCGCACCCCAAAATGTGGCTCTAGGGCCAAAAAGTGTGCCCACCCCTGGTTTAACACATGGCCCTGGGTTGTGGATTTTGCCTCCAGTCTCTGCCTCTGGGGGGGAATGTGTTCTAGCTGTGGGGAAGGTGATTGGGTTTAAAAATGTGATGTACACCTTCCACATGAGTAAGGGGGTTGTTGTGTTTGTTGTCCCGCTTAGCCTTGTTGAGCAGGTGGTTGTGGAGGGGATTGTTGTGCGAGGTGTTTTTGTTCCTGTTTTGCTGCTCCCAACACCTGCTGTTAAAGTCACTGTCTCTAATGTTCCTCCTTTTTTAGGAAATAAGCAGTTGGCTAGAGACCTGGCTAGTTGTGGTAAGATCACTCGCCCTATCAGGAGAATTAATTTGGGCTGAAAAGCCCCAGAGGTTCGGCATGTCTTGTGCTTTCATAGGCAGGTAAAAGAGCAAACTATCCCACTGCGTAGAATAGATAGGACGTATGGCAAGAGACCACCCTGGTTTAACCAGCAGATCTTCAATGATCTGAAACTCAAAAAAGAGTCCTACAAAAAGTGGAAACTAGGTCAAATTACACAGGATGAATATAAAAAAACCCACAAGCATGTAGGGACAAAATTCGAGAGGCCAAGGCACAAAAAGAGATTACATTCACTGGAGACATAAAGGGTAACAAGAAAACATTCTACAAATACATTAGAAGCAAAAGGAAGACCAAGAACAGGGTCGGACTGTTGTGTATTTGCTTGTCGTGGTAATAGAATCTTGTGTTGCTATGGCAACTGAGTTAGATTATTAGGGGATAGCCCAGCCCGTTTTGGCTGGTGTTTGGTTAGTTCAGTGAGAGGCAATAAATGGCTGCTTTTAAGGTTTACAGCTCTCTCTGTCTCCAGTGATTTCTTCCTAAAACTGTTGCCCCCAAGGATATAACACAGACCATTACTCAGTGAGGGGGGAAAAACAATAACAGAAAATGTGGAAATGGCAGAAGTGCTAAATGACTTTTTTGTTTCTGTTTTCATCAACAAGTTTAGTAGCAATTGAACATCTAACTTAATGAATACCAGTGAAAATGATGTAGGATCAGAAGCCAAAATAGGGAAAGAACACATTAAAAATTACTTAGACAAGTTAGATGTCTTCATATCGGCAGAGCCTCATGAAATATATCCTAGAATCACAGTTGCTAACTTTCACATGGTAAATAAGCACCCCGACTCACAATGAGCCAAAAATCAAGCTAATCCCATTTCAAAACAAGGCCAAAACAAGCCAATCTCTAAAAACCCCAACACTGTATGTGACTAGATCCCCCCAGCATGCAGTCTGGGACTGTGCTGGGCCCGCTGTGCACCCCTGACTCTCTAAACCATTGCCCCGCTTGCCCCCCTTACCCCTGCTTGCCGGGAGCTGATAAAAAAAAAAGAAGGAACAAGCTACAAGCCAAAAATTTGCCAACAAGCAACTCACAAGCCAATTAGGCCAAAAACAAGCTCAATTTCCATGGTGGGTTTTTTTTGCGCGCGCGTTTGGCATGTCTCTCTAGAATACTGAAGGAGCTGACTGAGGAGATATCAGAGCCATTAGTTATTATCTTTGAAAAGTCATGGAAGATGGGAGAGATTTCCGAGGACTTGAAAAGGGCAAATAGAGTGCTAATCTATAAAAAGGCAAATAAAGACAATCCGGGGAATTACAGACCGGTCAGTTTAACTTCAGTATCTGGAAAGATAATAGAGCAAATAATTAAGCAATCAATTTGCAGACACTTAGATGATAATAAGGTGATAAGTAACAGTCAGCGTGGATTTGTCAAGAACAAATCATGTCAAATCAATCTAACAGCTTTCTTTGACAGGGTAACAAGTCTTGTGGATGGGGGGGAAGTAGTAGATGTGGTATATCTTGACTCTAGTAAGGCTTTCGATACTGTCTTGCATGACCTTCTCATAAACAAACTAGGGAAGTACAACCTAGATGGAGCTATTATAAGGTGGGTGCTTAACTGGTTAGAAAACTGTTCCCAGAGAGTAGTTATCAGTGGTTCACAATCAAGCTAGAAGGGCATATCAAGTGGGGTCTACAGGAATCAGTTCTGGGTCTGGTTCTGTTCAATAACTTCATCAATGATTTAGAAAATGGCATACAGAACAAATTTATAAAGTTTGCAGACAATACCAAGCTGGGAGGGGTTGCAAGAGCTTTGGAGGATAGGATTAAAATTCAAAATAATGTGGACAAATTGGAGAAATGGTCTGAAGTAAACAGGATGAAATTCAATAAAGACAAATGCAAAGTACTCCACTTAGGAAAGAACAATCAGTTGCACATACACAAAACGGGAAATGACTGCTTAGGAAGGAGTACTGCGGAAAACGATCT